TCTGTGATTCAACAGTCTTGCACAATTCACAGCACTCACCATAGCACATACCCTCCCCAATGTCTATCACCCAGCCACACCGTCCCTCCCACCCCCCACCACTCCAGCAACCCTCAGTTTGTTTCCTGAGATTAAGAATTCCTCATATCATTCTCACAACATTTTTATCAACTGATTAATATATGAGCTCATTTTATGTGTGTTTCTATTTAAAGACTTTATTTATGTTGTTGATTCATTAACATTGAACTCATGGCCAATAGCACCATAACTCATAACAGCACATGAACAAAGTTTATCTAACATGTGAATTTTCTCCTTAAGACACATCACAGTCTCCTTAGGAACACCAGACAGCGCTTCAGAACTACACTGAGGGCCATTTTAAACAGCAAAATCACAAACAAAAGCACAAAATGCAAAAAGTATGGTATTAGTAATGCCACCAAAAGAACACTTGTTTATAGTAGGACAGCTGAAACAAGAAGGCAGAGAGCCACCTTGTTTGGCTGGGAACTTGCACCTTAGCTAACTCAATTTTTCTTCTGTGAATGATCCAGAAAGCACTGTGAGCGGTGATTTAGGGGTTACAAATAAGTTTCAATGAACAGGAGAATTTACAAATACAGAATCCCTGAATAACAGGGATCAACTGAAAATATTCAGTTAAACAATGAATAAGTTTCTAGTGTTCATATGACCCGTGCAATATCATTCATGGTTTATCTGATATTTAAGTTTAATGAGGCATTGCATATTTTTATTTGCTAAATATGACCACTCTAAACAGAGTGTAAATATTTTCAGCATTGTAGGCCATGTGGTCCTTAACAAAACTACTTAACTCTGCCTTTGCGACATAAGGCAATCAAAGACAATATGTAAATAAGTGGGCATGGCTGTGTTCCAATAAAACTTCATTTCTAAAACCTGGTGGCAGGCCTGTTTTGGTCCATGAGTAGAGTGGATTGACTTGAGGCAAGGAGCCCAAGAATGAAGTTGTCGAAGTATTCCCAGGAAGAACTGCCTTAGGATAGTGGTAATGGAATGAAAAGAAGTGGATCCTAACGGAAGCTGGTAAGGTGTTGAAATCAATAAGATGTGGTGACTAATTGTAAGTCAAAGGAGGCATCTATATTTATGGCTTGGACAGCTCTGCAGATGACTCCATTCATGGAGAAAGGAAACAAGTAAGTTTGCATTTTTCTTTACCACCTACCCACTGTCCCTGGTTTTGCAAGTTATTTAAGCTCAGTGCTTCTCAATTTCTTCATCCATACAGTTTGGAGGTGATGCCATAGTCTTGTTACAAACACTGAGGGAGCATCCTTTTAAGCACTTCAATCAGTGTTGCTATAAATGCTCACTGAAGGTTAGCCATCTCTCTCGCTCTTTTCTCAATTCCACATCTATGTAGAGATGTATCTGTTGCTAAAAATATACTTGGCAATGTCTGTGCAGAATCCAGTGATCTCTACTATTTGGGTAAGAACCATGTGATCTCACTATCTTACTAGTAATGATTATCTCCATAGTTTATCTCTGAGTTTCTGAGTGACCTGTCTCACCAACACAATACCTATCTTACTTATATCACTTCAGTAGACTTCTCAGCACCAGAGTGTTACGCACATTTAAGCATTCTGAAAATATCTTCGCATGAAGGAATGAATTCTTCCCTGTCCCCTCTTCTGTCTCTTGTTAGCTCACCAGTTCAAACAGATTTCCCTTGGGGGGCTTAAAGTGACCACTTGTCTTCTACTCTAGAATGCATGTGAATAATTTGCCAACTTGGGTCATTGACTATGCCATGGATAATGGTATAGTTGTAAGAGAGTCTATCAATACTGGTAAACAATGAGAACTTGTTAGAGACTGTTATTATTCCAATTGAAAGCTTGTGGTCTGGGGACGTGCTCGGCAATAACCGTGCCCTTCATTTACTCTGCCCAGGCTCCATATGGAAGAAGACTCTTCTGTAGACACGTACCTTGTATCCTTCCAGTCTTGAGTTTCCCTTCAGGATGTTGAAGTTTATCTCCATCCTGTAAAACATAAATTCCCAAAGGTCCTCTTTACTGTGGGACTCTCCTCTCTTATCTCAACATAGAGTCTCCATGTGGAGATGAAGAGAAAATGTGTTGAGGACTCGTAAGAAAACTGCACCAGGTCCACGTGTGATGTCACGGGAATTTGCAGACAGAAGCATTGAGGTGAGCATAGATAGAGAAAAAACTCTCCTCTGAGGAGGGCTAGAACCTTGCCAGTGGTCAGTTGGCCCCTGAGGGTCAGGTTAGTGGATTGGGTACATATTTTGGAAAGCTTAAGTACCCAGGGAGAAAAGAGATGTCACAGTTATACTGCTAAGCTGGTCTCCTTCTGTATTAACTGTGACTGAAATGGAGCTAATATGATCCACCAGATACCATAGATCCCCAGAGAGGAAGAAATGAGCAGACACTAGGAATAATCGTTAGGTGAATAGAATAGAATAGAATAGAATAGAATAGAATAGAATAGAATAGAATAGAATCACACTCTTTTGTAGCTATAAAGGGCTATAAAATATCTAAAAGAAAAAAAACACCCTTTATGTTATAGATAAGGAAATTAAAACTCAAAGAAGCAAGACAACTTGCACAACTAAGGAGAAGCAAAGTAAGGTCTAGAGCTGAAATGCTACCTGCCAGGCTGGTATTCCTCCTCCCAACAGCTCCCTGTCTACATTCTCCGTGGCTTGCAAAGTGATTTTTCTACTGTACTGTTGCACTCTGTTGCACCCTGCAAATATACTGTTGCAGGGCCCAGCCACCTCTCAACTTTTCTTTTTTCCCTTTAAAAAATATATCAGCAGGAGTAAAATTGTAGTCATTTGAAATTTTGTTAAAGATTATGTTATTGATCATAAATTTAGCCATCTAGGAGAACTGACAGATTTCTCATGGGATCACCTGAGAATGGGTCAAACTTACTTTTATGTGGATCTTGGATCTATAGTGAGAACATTCTATGGCCAGAAATAACATTAAACAGCAAATCATGGTTGCCTGGGACTTCATTTTCACACATTAGGATCTTCACCTGCAATACAGAATGAAAGTGGATCCAGCTGGAGGTGATAAGTCCAGACAACACAAAACTTAACCAGCTAACCAACCCCTTGGTGACCCTACTGGAAAGATGTCCAAACCAAAACCTCCTGCTCCAAGAAAGGACCCCAATATCTACTTTCGGGCCAGCTAACACGTAAAAAAAGGGGAAGACTTTCTCTCAACTGTTAACTTGTCTACAAACAATAGACAGGAATGAGGGACGCACTAGGAATGATGTATGTTCACCAAGGAATCACATCTGATTATTTGATCCACAATTTTCTTTAATAGTAACATTTATCAAGAACTTTTATTTGCAAATCACTGTTCTGAGCACTTTCTTTGCATTAACTCATTTAATCAGATGGCATACGACTATTACCATCTTCATTTTATCAGTGGAGAACTAAGGTACAAAGTGTGGAACAACTATGAGTCAAGGTCACTCATAAAAAGTGGTGGAGCCAGATGATGCAGCTGGAAAGCCAAGTTCTAGAACAGGACCACTCAGCAATGGTACTATTGACATCTGGGGCTGGATAGTTCTTTGTTGTCAGAGGTTGTCCTGTAAATTGTAGGATGTGCAGTAGCATCTCTGTCCTCAACCCACTAGATGCCAGGAACAGCCTCCTCCCCAGCTGTGACAGCCAAAAATGTCTCCAGACATTGCCAAGTGTGCCCTGGGAGAGAAAATTGCTCCCAGTTGAGAACTACAGAGGGGCAAAGGGGGTCAAGTAACTTAAAATGAAATGAATATACACTATTGTCTGTTACTGGAGCAAGCACTGAGACACTCTCTTATAGATGGATCAACTATTACACAGAGAAACTAGAAGCATGAGAAGATAACTATTCTTTGGCCACATCTCTGTTTCTTGCCTTTTTCTTTTTTTAATATATAATTGACATGTAACATTATATTAGTTGCAAGTGTACAACATAATGATTCGATATTTGTATTTTTGTAAAATGATCAGTAAGTCTAGGTAACATCTGTCACCACACATAGTTACAATTATTTTTCTTTTGATAAAGTTCTTGATAGTTCCACCTTTCAAAGACAAATCTCCAAGAAAGCATCTTTACGATAGTTGAAATTCATCAACATCATCATGATCATCACCACCATACTTTTCTTACAGGATAGTGGAAACTAAGACCATTTATTGGAAACAAAGTTCCTTAGAACAATTTTCTGGTAGTACAGATGCAACACTTTAGATTCAGCATGAGCTAAGCTGTTAATCATATTTATGCTATTGAACTATTTGACCTTTGTTGAGCCTATTTTCTTTCTCATCCATCTCATAAAATGTGGGATGATTATTCATTCTACCAACCACCCTTTATCAAGTGCCTCCTATTTGCCAGGAACTGTGCCAGATGCTGGGGGTAGGGAAATAAAGGGTGCTGTCATTTCCATAAAGGATGTCCAGTGAGGAATGCAGACAAGTCAAACCAATAGTGAGAAGAGAGATCATCTACACACTGCAGCTAGTGAATAAGGCCAAGCAGAAACTGAGCCTCAGCAAACATAAATTCCTTTATGCTCTAATGGATACAAACTAACTCTGATCCATCTAGGCTCACCAGGCAATCTGTGGCCAGGGAGCAAAGAAAACTCACTGATCAGGGATCAGAACTTTCCTGGGTGGAGTCAAGACTAAGATGGACTTTCATGACTCCAGTGAGCCTTGACTCCAGTGAGCTCCATCCTCACATGAGAGGATGAGCCAAAGACACTTACAGGAAGGCTTCCAAATTGTCTTTGAGCTTAAAATTCTTTGAGTTCCTAACCAATGAACAGGGGGGAAGTATTTTGACTTATATTATCTTCTTGTAGAGCAAGTCTGAGCAAGGGAAAGGAAACATGGCAGAATGACGGGCAAAGTGTGGTAATGGATTTGCATAGTTGCTGGGATATGTGTGTGGAATTCAAGATCTTACATGAGTGGGTGGAAAGAAGTTCTCAAGTATGCAGCAAATTGGTGGATGGGCACACTAAGCAATTTGCAATATTAATATTATTTAGGATAGATTTTTAACTGTCCTCACGAAAGGGAATACCAGAAGAACCAGTATAAGTTGTCTTAGACGTGTCTGTATGTTTCACATACACACCTGTGGCTTTCAAAAATTTTTTATCCTGACACAGTAATAAAACAGATCTTACATCATGACTCATTGTGTACAGACATACATATGTATGTATACAGGTATCCATATACAAAACTGGAAAAATACATGATTTTTATATTTCAAAAGCTTTTACGTATTACTTATCCTTCCCACCTATAAGCAAGACACTCTGCTGTGTTTGTGATTTTTATCTTGCATTCCACTCTATCTGACATTCTTTTGGAAATCGGTTGCCACCCACTAAATTGAATCCACAACCCTCTAATGGATTGTAACCTGCAATTTGAGAAATAGAAATACAGACTAGAAGATTCATTTTCATTATCAAGTTGAAAATCATTCACTTCTCCCACTGAAGTGGTCCTTTTGGTCCTTTCTCTTTATTATTTTTCACAATTCTATCAAAATCTTCTTCCCAAGGTACATGCATTAGGGAAAAAAGATACTTACATTCAGAGCCAAATAATAGGACTAATGCTAAGGGTAAATGCAATTCTCTTCCACCTAGAGAGCAATAGTTTGAAATGTACAATGAAAATGGGTGAAGACGAGCCAACAGGAGGCCACTTATAAGTAATAATGCCTTCTATCTAAGGCTTCAGAAGGAAGCCTTTTATTGTCCACAGTTTTCAATACAAGAACTTCACTTGAAGTTAATCTTGCTGGAAGAAAGTCAGGCATTTTGTACAATGATGTGATGTGATGTGATATGATGTGATGTGATGTGATGTGATGTGATGTGATGTGATGTGATTTAGGAAGTCCAATACTGTTTTCCTGAGCAGTGCTAGGGCCTCTGTAAGTCCACAGCTCCCCAAAGTGTTCAGGGACTAAAGGATCTAATAGTCATGGCATTTTCTGTAGATCATTATGCTCTTTATGGAACATGATGAAATAATGACACATTCACTTTTTTCCTAAGAAAAAATTTACTAGCCGATCATTTATATGTAGTATGAAATCATAAGCATGACCTCAAGAAACACAAACTTTGAACTGAGCACAATTAGCTGTTTGGAGAGTTTTGGTTAATTAATTTGATATTTCATCATTCTTGTTCTTATAGTCTGGTGTATGTAACCCAGCTACAATTTTGTATGATAATTATATGGTAAAGTTCCTTCAATTATTACAATTGGGAAGGAGGGGATGTTTAATAACGTTACCCAAGAGAAGGCACAGCATTCTTATTTTTGCCTAGTTTGATTGGCAGTGATGGGTCAGATGGAGAAATGTTTTCAAGGTAGCTCCAAATGGGTTGTTTCTCTTCTCACCAGAAAGAGTAGAATGGAATCTGTCCCATCACAATAGATGGCTGAAGCCAAAAGCTAGAGTGTTCTGCAGAGCACACAATGAGCCAGAGCTTCAGAGCTCTGAAATGGGGAATTAAAAAATAAAAAGAAGTATATCCGGCATAATTCATAATCAGAGGTTGATATTTTATAGGACAGAATGGAAGAGACATACTTAGATTCACCATTGATAAAGACTTAATAATTAAAGTGAACTTTGAGTTTTGCATAATGCTGAATGAAAATTTTCTGCAAATATAAAGTATTTCTGTGCACCTGGGTAGCTCAACTGGTTAAGCGTCTCTTGATTTCGGCTCAGGTCATGATCTCAGGGTTGTGAGACTGAGCCCCGCATTGGGCTCTACACTGGGCGTGGAGCCAGCTTAAGATTCTCTCTCTCCCTCTCCCTTGGCACTCCGTCTCTAAAAAAAAAAATAATACTATATATATATAAATATAAGTACAAAAAATATATAGATAGATAGTATTTCTCCAATATCCAGCACAGTGTCTGCATGTACTAAGGGACCTCTTGAAAGAATGAAGAAAAGAACAAGGACACAAAATCTAAATACATATGACAAGACTGGATTGTCCCAAAGAACATCGACAAAAACACAGACAGAACTGAAAGAGGCAGCTTTCAGATGTGAACCTAATCAAGGACAACTTGCCAGGCCCAGGGGTCTATTGGTTCCTAGTGAACAGTGCTGGAGTCAAGGCCAGGTCCTCTCCCCCTTGGAGAATCCGGAGTTATTCTGTATGCTTAAATAACTTTTACCTTAAAATACCATTTCACTGACTTCTGGCTTTGTAGTGTGTTCAGTTTAACAACAAAACTGTGTGTTTTCATAAAATCGCTACTTCTCAAAACCCCTGGGGTACGGTGGCAGAAAAATGCTTTGTTGGGAAGAACTGTCCCTGGCTATTTAAATCAAGATCCTAGTACCTGGTGGGGGATCATAAAAACAGTAAGCAGTAATCCTGACGGACTAGTGCTGCAACAAGGGGTACGTATGCCTAGGGTTGACACATATTACGCGCCACTTATTTGCCAAGTTTGTAGCAGGCACCAAAGTTGAATTTTAGAAGAATGGAAGAAAAACTTGACCCTGAGGACATTTGTATACACTGACTTAAATATTCTGTGATTTCAGGAAATCTGCCTGTTTTATTTAGTAAGGCAAACAATACAGAGTTTGGTGTCAACTGCAGTTGGCCAAGATATTGTGTCCTGAAGTGGGTTTCTGTGGAACACTGGTCTCGTGAAAGACTAAGGGGTTCCACGGTCAGATCAGTTGGAGAAACCGTGTGTCCCAGCACCACCACCCCCAGCCCCTCACATATATGCAGACGGATAGCAGAGTTCCTGGGAATCCTTGTGGTAAAAAGACTTGTTTCACTCTGGTTATACCTAATTTACCTTATCATCCAGAGCGCTCTGGGGGATTTAAGGCTACTGCTCAAGGACCGCCCATCATCTTGGAACATGTGAACGTATCCAGACTCAGGCTCCACGTGCATTTGTTGGGCACCTACCACATGCCAGCCCCTATGC